AGAAAACAAAAGGGTTTCAGTACCATCTTTTAAAAAGCCAGATGCAATGCTGCAGTCTGAAGATGAGTTGGTGGCCCTTCGGCCAATCAGCGGTGAGGGCAGGACTGCCAGGGCCCCTTGGTCAATCAGTGGTGGGGGTGGGGGGAGGTTCACCATAAAAAGACTGCAAAATTGGCTCCATGCACTGCAAAATGCCTGCAAAAGTCACTTTTTTCTTGCTGCAATTTAAGTAGGTCTCTACCTGTAAGTGCATATGCTCGCACTAGCTAATGCTGGCGTGCACAAATGTCCCAGCTATGCATAAGTGCTGGCAGGTCTGAACAGCTCTAAAACACCCACTCCCTCGGTTTCTGGGCATCAGCCAGTCCTTGATAGGCTTGGTGGGGGACACCTTGAAAATGAGCCACCGTGAAACTGGCCAACTCCTGTGGTTTGCAAGGGGCTTTTGCCGCACATCTCTGTTCTCTGAACACCTTTGCACATGCCTGGGGAGAAGCCAGAAGCAGGGCTGAGGATGCTTGGAGGGATTAAACCCCCACACCTTGTGATGCCTTGGTCACATGTGGCACCTGTCGTAAAGCCATCACAGGTGGAGCAGTGCAGATTGCAAACCCTACATAACAGCCAAGGGAGCACCATCCTCTGCCACCCAGAAAGCAGCAGGTTCCTGGATTCTGGGTAGGAGCATGGAGCCACTCCATCCTTTGCTGAACAAACTAAGTGGGGACAACCTGGCTTCCTTCCCGGATGGCTGACAGATGGCAGCAGCAGGTGCAGCCCTCTTGGGGCACAGGAAGGTTTATAAGGCATGGCACATCAAGCAAAGGCAGTCATGTGGGAGGGCAACGGCCTTCTGCACGCCTCGGCCTGGGGTGGCTCAGCTCACCTGCCTGGGTCAGCACCTCTGCCCTCAGGGAGGACATGGCAGGGTCAGAGGCAGGATCAACACATTCTCCTCATAGGAAGGGTGGGCCCGGATATGTCCCTTAAGGGCCTGCCACACACTCAGACTGAAGCTGGAAAGAAGCCACCTATAAAGCAATTATACCTTTCCAAACACTGACTTGAGATCTAGTTGGCTTTTTTTGTAGCTGAAGAGCCCTTGTGATCCTTTGATCATCACTTTGCATGTGTAGCTGGTCTACATTTATTGTGCAATTCGCCAGTGAATTTCATATTGTATGTGATGTGTAGCAGGGCCTTAGGAGCCATGGGGGTGGGGGACAGTGAGGCGCAGCCTGCCTTGCCCTGCCCAGCTTAGCCCTGCCCCAGCTCCCTGTAACAGCAGCAGAAAGTGCTGGTGCTGGTCTGCAGCCACAGAGCAGGTGCAAAGGACACGCTGCCTGTCCAGAAGGCGCCTGCAGGCTGCTGGTAGTTGAAGGCTGCTATTAAATCCCCCTCAGCCTTCTCTTCTCTAGATCAAAGCAGCCCAGTTCCCTCAGCTTCTCCTCGGAAGTCATGTCCCCCAGCCTCCTCACCATTTTTGTTGCCCTCTGCTGGACTCTGTCCAACTTGTCCACATCTGTTCTGTAATGGAGGGCCCAAAACTGGACACAGGACTCCAAATGTGGCCTCCCCAGTGCAGAATAGAGGGGAATAATCACTTCCCTTGACCTACTGGCAGCACACCTACTAATGTAGCCCAGTATGCTGTTAGCCTTCTTTGCAACAAGGGTGCACTGTTGGTTTATATTCAGCTTACTGGCCATTGTAACTTGCAGCTCCTATCCATAATTTCTACTAAAAGCATACAATAAGATTATCCGTTCGATTAGTTTACAAAAAAATTAAAACAGAACACAATGTACAATGATCTAAAAGGAGAGGTAAAATGGAGCAATGAATATTCTATTTGATTTTGGCCCTTATTCTTTGTGCATGTAGCACAAATACACGTAGAATAAGGGCCTGGTCAGATTCCTCGTCTTCCACAGGGCATTGCTGAAGCAGGAGACAAACTGATCAAAGTGGGCTGTCAGAGTCCCTTGATGCTTGGTCAAGTGTCTGTACAGAACTGCCTCTGGTTGGCGATGACCCCTGTCACCACCAGGAGGAGTCTGATTATTCTCCACACCTCCCTGGTGTATGGGCAGTATCAGAAGAGGTGGTCAATAGTTTCCACCTTCCATCTTAGCCAAAACACCAAAAAGCAATGCCCCACCACTGCCTACAGCCCCACCACCTGCAGCCCGGGCCTCCCTCAGCATGCTGCAAGCCCTGCTGCCAGCATTTCTCTGCCCCCAGCCCTCCCTAGCCACCTCCAGGCCCAACACCTCCTCTAACAGCCCTGCCAGCACCACTTCCTAAGTCACAGCACCCAGGCACCAGCCTCTGCCCTACCCTTGTGCCGCATGAGACTCCCGCTCTGGCTCCTCCACAGGTCCCCACCTTTTGCCCCCTCACCCTGGCAGTGTAGAAGAGGCTCAGGATTTGCCCCTGTCCCCTTTGGACAAGCTGCACTTCCTTTGCACCTGCTCTGTGGCTGCAGACTAGTACCTACGCCTTCTGCTGCTGCTGCAGGGAGCTGAGGCAGGGAAGGGTAGGGTGCTTCTCACTCCCCACTCCAGGCTTCTAGGGCCCGGATACGTTACATACATCACACAATGCACTGGCAACTCACGCAATAAACATAGACAGGCCACACGTGCAAAGTGATGAGCACAAGATCACAATGCCTCTCCAGCTATAAAAAGAGCCAACCAGGTCTCAAGTCAGTGCTTGGAAGGGTGTAACCACTCTTTAGATGGCTTCTATCCAGTTTCAAGCTGAGCATGAGGCAGGGACATCTCCAGGGCCACCCTTCCTATGAGGGGAACGTGCCGGTCCTGCCTCTGACCCTGTGCATCCTCCCCGAGGGCAGAGGTGCTGATCCAGGCAGGTGGGCCCAGTCACACCAGGCCAGGGTGTGCAGCAGCCCCCATCCCCCTCCCTCATGACTGCCTTTGCCATGCCTTACAAAGCCTTCTTGCACCCCAAGGGGGCTGTGCCCAGTGCCATCCCTTGGCTACCCAGGGAGGAAACCAGGCTGTTTCTACATGATTCATGTTCAGCAAAGGATGGGGCAGATCCATGCTTCTGCCCAGGTTCCTGCTACTACTTCTTTCCAGGTGGTAGAGTGTGGCACTCCCTCGACTGTTACACGGGGTTCACAATGTGCGCTGCTCTGCCTGGCAGGTGTAGGAGTCTGGAGAAGGCTGTAGTGATGCTAAGCTGCAATGAAGCTAAGACACTGCAAAGGACCTTGGGAGCAACAGGCTTCACTGACAGCCAGATAAGCTGATAAAAGGTGCAGCAAGCCAAAACATTGGGGACCCCCTAGATCAGCAGGGAGCGTGCCCTAGATGCCTGAACTGGGCAGCAGGGGGCTGATGTTGGCAAGGACTGAGCCACAGGTGTCTGGACTTAATCCCCTTTTTACTTAGTTCCTTGCTATCTCAAGCAAGAAAGAGATAAGAGGTGGCACGGGGTGGACGCATATTGACTATAAATACAGGGCCTGTGAGACTTGCCTTCTCCTAGCGACTTAGGGGTCATCAGTGCATGTCATGCAACACTTCCCATTTTCTGGGCAGTTTTGCTGAGCTAGACTGACCGAAGTACCAACCCACTAGCTCCTGTGCAAGAGACAATCAACCTCCGAGCTTTCACCCCCAGACACAAATTTGAGGCATTCTTTCTGCATTGCACCCAAACTCCAGGAGGCTGGTTGCAGGTAACAACCTTCAAGAGCCCCCTGACCCATGCATCCTGAATGACAGGGGACAGGAAGCTGGTGCACATGTATGTTGGGTGTTTAAAATTAGCTGTTGAGCATATGGGTCTATTTGTGGAGCAGACACATGCGATTATGTGCGTGTGTGTGTGTAAATGGCTGTTGGTATGGGTGCTTGCAGTGTGCACCTGCACATAACTCCAGGTTTCACGCATGTGTAAGTGAACAGGGGCAGCAGTGCATTCTGCAAGTGCCTAGCAGATGTTACATGCTGACACACATCAGGGCCTCAGTTATGGGAGGTGCATACAGTGCTGCAGGGTCACTCTATGGAATTACAGCCATTTCAGGCAGGGCAGCTGCAGCCACCTACACCAACTGTCCCACCAATATCCCTGGCTGGCCAGGGAAGGTGATGTGTCGGGCAGGCAGGTGCCTTTGGGAGATGCACCCTCCCCTACTCTGGGCCCCAGGGAGATCCCTGTCCTCTCTTCCCACCGTAGCCACCAGTTCCAGTGATGTACTTTCCAGCACCACTTGCCTCTATCCCCAAAGCACCACCAATGGGGAACATCACTAGTGAGCATGTGCCCCCCCCCCCAGGCCCCCACTGGATCCCAGTTTTGGGGGGTGACGCACTCTTACCAGCAGTTCCAGCAGGAGAGAAGCAGGACCCACAAGCATGATGTGTCCAGGCCCCTGTGAACATCACGGAGTCAGCAAGCCCGGAACAAGCATAGGAAGAACATAGACCTGCGCTTGCCTGAAGGAGGTGCTATGAGCAGGCAGGACTGAGCCAAAGGCTTCTGGATTAGCTCTGTTGCTTGCTTTTCTGCCAGCAGTGCAGGCAGGGCGATGCCCAGAGGTTCTGCATCTCAACTTCCCTCAAAGGAAGCAGTTCACCTTCTGGCCAGGGGTGGATAAACTCATCTGGGGACCTTGGGCCTAAAGAGCAGGGAGGAGGGGAGAAGGCAGTGATGACCACCCGGACCACTGCCCA